TTAGGTCGAGTACCCAGGGAATGGAACACTTGCAAGGACATGCTACCCAAGCTATAAGTGTGAAGGAGCCAAGGAATGGTGCCGTCGATATGGTCCTTGTAYTGTTAAGTGCTGTAAAGGAAATCTTTGYAATGGTGGAAAACCAATCAAATTTGCTGGTCACCTGCTCTTGCCTGTCATCCTCACCTCAATAGCGGSCATACTTCATCTATAAGATCAGTCTTTCTCTTTTCATTTAAAAAATTTGGATAAAGACGTATATATATTTTTGAACAATATCGTTTTAGTCAAGGAAAATAAGAACGTTTTGTGCGCTCATTTATTAAAGAATTGTACTTTTTATAGTATAAGATTTCTTATAAAAAAAAGCAAACACACGCATATCTTCAGAGACGGAATCATAAGCTTTTTTTATTCGCTTTATTAGAAATATTTAATTATAAGTTCTGTAAATTTGTTTAAATTTGCATAATCAGCGAATAGACCGACTTGAATGCACTCTATTTTACTCACAATTGGAMATTATTGCTGTGTGAGAGAAKSAATTTKACATCTCCGCTGTAGTCTGTTTTGWACTGAAGTCCTGTTTGCAAGTCCACCATATACAAAACACCCATTAACCGAGTCTGTTTACTTTGTATTTCAACTTAAAACTCTTTTTGTAAGATGGKAAAAATACTTTACAAATTTCACCATCACCGAGCTATTTTTTTTTTCTTAAAAGAAAAATTTCAAAAGTTTCTTCAGTGCTCTCTTCCTCAGTTTGTAATCAAAATATTTTCATGTTCAACACAAAAAAACAGAGCGAAGATAATAGATGAATATGATGTAACTACTACAACAAAAGACTRTTCCTAGGAGATTTCCATGGTTGGCTTTGATTGGTCAARTCCTCCTGTTCGCCATATTGATCGACTCGTGTCAGTCTATTGTAAACTGAAGAAAACGTGTTTCTATTGACCCTTCAACGCTTCATTGCTGCTTAAAACATTGCTGGATTTGAGAACATTTCGACACCGTTGGCACAAGAACTATTATCCACCAATATAGACTCAAAGTTGGAGCAGTTTTGTCAAGAATGAACTCGAAAACAAGCATATTGTGTGTGGTGGTTTGTTTGCWGCTTGTTTTCCATTCAGGTTAGTCGGGTTCTTTTCACTTAATGGCAGGTTGTCAAGAACCAAACACGCAGAATCAAAAGATATGCTGAGCGCTGCTTTGTACCGCTTTTTAGTAGCTCATTTGTATATTTCAGATTTCTGAAATTTAAAAGACTTTTAAATGTTCAAATGTCATTTCGTTCTGATTCATTTTTTATTGACCGCCTTTCAACAGTCTTTGTTTCAATTCTTCCTAATGAAAAAAATGTCCAAAACACTTTTTYCTAAAAACTATATAATTCAAAACAATTCTTTGTCTTTTTATTTCTCAGAAATTCGGCGAAATCATATATTTTTTGTTTTAATTTGAATATACCATGTCATACTGTAAGATGTATTTTTCATTGTTGTCGATGTTACGCTGAGCCACCCCTCCCCTATTAATATGATAATACAGAGGGTCTTGTTTTGGTAATATTCATGAGTTGTACATCTTTAGAAAGTTCCGTAAATATGACCATTTCGGGCCTATAGGACACAATAAAAAKGGTTTTTGACGGGACAACGATTGATTTGAGTAACACAATTCTTTTTAAAAGAAAAAGCAATCTTCAACAGACACAGACACAAGCACAACAATGAGAAGTGTGAATAGAAGACGTTGTAAACGAAAGTGCAAACGCAGTTTGACGCAAGAAAACAAAACTCCGTATTATCCTTTGCTTGTGATTGCGTAATTTTTGTCAATGCGGCGATATACGCTTGCGGAAACGCAATAGTTAACRCAAACGACCGCAGAAACACTTGCATCGAGCGATCTTTTGCTCTATATGACTTTTGTGTCAACATTACAAACGTACAGTTTCACGGCTGCATGCTTGCGTTTTAATCAGTAGCAAGAAGAACGTTATGTAGTACGAGATGCTAAGTAGTGTCATTTCTTGTTTCGTCCACAGTTCAGTCTATTAGATGCCGCAAATGCTTTCCTCCAATGCCCGAAGAGGAGTGCAAAAAGAGTGATGAGACGATTGAATGTCGAGACTTTGAGCCGCTTGGCTACGATTCCTGTATCCAAGTAGAGTACAATGGTAACAACACAATGGCTAGAACGTGTTACCGTAGCTTCATGTGTGAAGGAGCAAGAGAATGGTGTAAAATCCGTGGCCCATGCACTGTGAAATGCTGCGATTACAATCTGTGCAATGCGAGTACKAAAGTTGAATCCATGACAAAGTTGTTAATGTTGCCTGTTTTAGTTGCTCTGGGTGTGATACCTTTGTTATAAGGGATACAGATTGCTACAGGTGGATCTATTTTCGCATAAAAACAAATATTTGGACAAAACAGAAAGAATTTACAGTACAGTATACTGACGACGCTAGTGGAGGAACACATGGAAAAGACGCGACTCTATATTACAGACAAATCACGTCAAATCGATGGAGATTCCTACTGAAAATATAACACAGATGAAAGATCTTCAAAATGGACAATACTATACTAAATTGTGGACACCTCTATAGAACAAAAACCTAGGTCCTTAACRTAACAYSTACATCATAGGTACCTCTATATTKCGGGMAMTTTCACATTGATACCTGCATATTAYGGGCACCTCGAAATTACAGACACCTCGAAATTATCGACACTTCTATATTATCAGTGGACATCTCCAACCTGCAGACAACTTTACATGCCATACTGGATATTACTATATTAGAGGCACTGCTATATTCTGAACACTCTAAATTATGGACACCTCTATATGATTAATATCTGTGCATTATGGATGCCTTTACATTACACCACATAAGCAACTCTACCTCTTTATGACAGACACCTCTACATGTTAGACACTTCTTTATTATTGACATATCTACATTATGGACACTTCTATATTAGTGGACATCAGACAACTCTATACMTGGTTATGGATATTACACTGGACACTTCAATATTACACTGAATATCCACCTCTAYTTGGATACCATGGATACTTCTATAWTGTGAACACTTCACTGTATGTATATCGCACACGGACACCGGTTTGTGGACACCTCATTATTCCGGGCATTCCRTGAGAATGCGGCCGTTTTATATGAAAATTAACCCTGGTCATTTTTACGCCGCYATTTTTTCAGACTCACTTGGTATCCTTTGCTACGTTGACTGTACATTAAATAATCTATGTTATAATAGCTTTAAATGCAGTAAAGCTAAAGATAGAAATGTAATCAAAAGTTTTCATAGATAATTTTTTGTTATACAGTATTAAGCTTTGTGCTTGTAAGGTCTTTTCAGTGCATCATTTGAACATCAACTTTATTGTATACTATCAAAACAAATCTTGGATAACRTATTATAACCTTATTATAAAAACCATATCTAATGTTTTATATAAGAAACATTCAAAAGCATAGCAACATGATTWAATTCAAAAAAATTCAAAGAATGGCAGTCGATATTTGGAAAAATATAAAGTAAATTTCTTCWCTTTTCAACATAAAAACATACTTAACAAGTATAATTTTGTAAAAAAWTATTTCCAGCTTGTAAACTTGTATATAGACAACGTTATTTAGAGTAAACGTTTTCTCTGTAAATGCCTCAATGATTACTAAATTCTATTTACGTAATTATTATGCATAATCATCGACATAAACAATTTCTCTTGCATGTGATTGGCTGGAAAACAATGGATCTTTTTCTTACAATCRAATTTACATATATCGCTACCTTTTCGTGAATCACGTTAAGYGTCGAATTTCATCGCCAAATTCACAGCAGAAAAGGATTTCTATTGAGCAAAAGGTTATTACCCACTCCAAGGTAAACGTTGTACAGTACTTGAGTTGAAGGTGAAAGGTTTTTTGGCTGTCATCATGCGATTGCTGTTCGTTGGAGTTATAACACTTTGCTGTGCTATTCAAACAGGTTAGTAAAAGCTTTATCTATACTTTGATCTTGAAAATGATTTTATCATGTCTTCTTAAAGTTGCATTTTAATGTATTATAAGTTAGAACCGCCATAAAAGAGGTTTGCAAACTTTTTCGTTTGAAGGACGCATTGTCGACATATGTTGTCCATTGTTYGCATAATAGGATAGAACAAGGTCCAAAAATCGCATTTCAGACCTCTTGAAATGGTGATCGATACTTTGTGATGTCTTGRAGGAGTTTTAGAGTGATTGGACGATTCGTATTTGATCTAAATTGAATAACTTTGTAAAATAACTGTAGCTCAAWCGACTAAACCATTGGACCATGAAAATAAAAKTTGTTCAAACACTCRCGTGAAGATTGGAGCGATTTTKTATTAGTAAGGATTTTGCATAAAAGTCAACTGAGACGTCCTCTATCCTGCGTGGATACCTAGAAACTAAATCTATCATTCCTTTAATTATTGAGTGRTGTTCAAATTTGTAGAAAACTCACATTTGTGTTAAAAATATAGTCTGTCTCGGAGAAAACGTTTGATGCATATRTATGCATCATCATGCAACTTGGTTATTGTTCGTTATTATTCTTTATTCTTGATATGAAATATAGACTGACGACTGTGAAATAGTACTTCAGTAGTGTGTAATAGTCAAATTCTTACAAATAAAAACAATGGAATCAGCCCGGATCAGACATMTATCTACTTTTAATTGCTGGAGTTGAATTTATGAACATTTTGTACTATGAATTTATCGGCAATGGTAGATTTTGTTCAGTTGGACGAACTTATTATACGTGAATTGCAACTGATTTATACCGGCTKCAAACTTCTCGTGAMCTACGCAAGGAATTAKATTAGACACGGCAAAAGATCGACGTCTGAACAGGMMTTTAGGCCCTTCTTACTCTTTTCTGACGGTGCTGTAATCTTGGCTTATAACCTGTTGTAGATAATTATTAGGCATTTCTGCATTTAAAAATTAAGATCATCACGCTTCTATGTTATTTGTATGTTCTTCTTCTTTTACGATTTTCTTTCTGAACTTWTTCCTTTCTAACCTTCTTCTCTTTCCTCGCGACCATAGTTTTCACTTGTTCTTGCTCCAGTCTACTTTCTTCTTCGTCGTCCTCCTYCTCTTCTTCTACTCCCAYATTTTGCCTARGTTKCTTTCTCATGCAGCCCSTTCAGCTAAATGAGTTCTATTATCATTTTTTTAGTGTTTTCTGTGGAGTGCTACAGTTGTTGGCCACCAATGCCAGAGGAAGAGTGCAAGCGAAGTGGTAAAAGAATGSAATGTAGGGATTGGGAGCATATTGGTTATGATTCATGCATCGAAGTAGAATACACCGGCAACGATTCACTTGCAAGAGCTTGTTATCCGAGTTATAAATGTGAAGGTGCCCGTGAATGGTGTAGGCGTTATGGTCCTTGTACTGTCAAGTGTTGTCAATACAATTTGTGCAATCCTGCATCTACGTTCAAGATAGTTGGCACCTTCTCCTTGTTTATGGCTTTAGCTGCTGTCTTTTACAACCTACGCTGAGTTAATGGATTTGTAGTTGGTAATGACTTTAGAATGACTGTATCTAGGGAGAGTCTTTCCAAAAAATCATATATCCTTTGAACTGATAACTTTATACCCCATATTAAAGCAAAGGCTAAACTAGAATGTAAGTTTATAGGGCTATACATTGTCTCTCACTGCGTCAATGCTTCGACTCAAAGTAGCCTAGTATCTGGATACAGTTGTAGCAAGTGTCACATTGAATTTGTATACAGCGAAATGTTATTCAATCGAAATACTTCATACTTACAGTAAGCGTACAGGTTAGCTACTAAAACTGTTCGTCGAGATCGAACTATTTTTAATTCAGATTGTTTTAGATATTATTGTAATAGAGTGATATCATAAACCCTTGAAAAATGMTCAAGCGTACGAGCTTTGCTTAGTCTTTGGTGCATATCACACATTATAACATTATTACTATAATACACTTTGTTTCAAGGGTTTATGAAAACTGCTCTAATATTTGTTTCATGGATACACTTTACYAGAGTGCAATACAGCTGAGCAGKTTTTTGTTTTTTTCAACAGCCATTTGTAAAAATTCTTACCGCTGATCATAAATCATTTTTGCGTGCATCATGGGTAATTTATTCACGTGATTTTCTGGATTTTCTCTCTTGAAAAATTGAAAATCAGTCAAGTCAAACTATTTGATGTTATGCTCATTTAGGGGTTTTAAAAACTAATTCTCCTCTTTGAGGACAAATTTAAGTTTCAATTTTGTTATATTAGTCACCCTATGTACATATAGGGAGTGGTCAGTCTGCAAATCACTGTAAATAAGGTACTATTGTGTACTTCATGTTATGGACTTCAGTTCATGTATATCGCTAATTAAACATTAAAAGAGAACACGGTTTTGTATAACTTTTAAGTAACTTGGCTGTACAGAAGTTTTGCGATTTTAAAGTATAAACAATTTTAATTGTTTAAAAACGTTAAATGCGTTTTGGAGCGTTTTGGGCGTTTTTGTTCTCAATTTGCCTCAATTAAATTCACTGGCTAATTTATTAGGGCTTAAGTATTCTGTTGCCTATACGAAAATAAGGTGTTGGCCCTTATTGCGGTATCACCGTATGTCATGTAATTGAATGTAAAATGTACGAAATTGGCCCATGTATAGGGCTACCACTGAATGTTTTTGGTTGATTACAGCGGATTGTCTAATGTTAGTGCAGRCAATCATACACTTGTTTGACAAAAAGTTTTTGTTGCTTGTAAACTTCAAAAAGAAAACTCCATCATATTATGGGCATTTTGTGTAATGTTCAATAACATTTTGAAAACCAACAAAAGGACTATACCAGGGTCACTTTTAGAAGAGAAGAGAATCACAGGRTGGACTTTCAAAGCCAAATTACTTATAATAACAATGACCCTGTAGACGAATTACAAAAAGGATTACCGGTTAGGAAAAAGGGTTTAGATCTCAAAATGTATGTTAATTTWCCCATACTACTTTTGAAGTAAACATCCAGTGTTAGTTGGCAAAATTATGCCGGGTATTATATATATTTACTGTAAAATTACAATTGGGCACTTGAAATTCCATTAACCTATTCAACCAATTGCCTTCACTTGAAGGTCAATATGCTCTCCTATTAATCCCTGTTAACCTTCACGAGTTTGTAAGGTTTCTTGTGATTGGAGGAATAAAGCAATGCTCATTGTTTCCTTGTTCTAAAATCCTATTGTTTTCTTTTATTTAACAAATAGCTAGTAAACCAATCATATAAGTTCAGTCTTGCAAAACCGTGAAGGACTACCTATTAATCTCAAATTGGTTGAAATGAAAACTTTGAAGCCCATCTATTGCWGGGAAAGAAAGCGTTCTATAAAATTAAAGGTTCCGCACGCCTAATAATCAACAGGTCGGATTTTCATCTCGGTTTCTTTAACACTGTAGTAGAATCCTTTCCAAGTCTTCCATGTCATCCCATCAGCAAACGTGTTATGACGACCACATTTGTATTCACCGTTCAGGTTTGACTWAAGAAAATAAACACACCGTTAAAAATCATGAATATAGAGCCGATAAAACAATTGCACCTAAGCGCTATATCTACAGTGCAAATGTATTTCCAGTTGAGGGGAAGAATTCGGAGCTGATGGTTATGGTGCAAATCCTTCACGGACCAACTTTGCAGTATAGGAGGCTTCTCATTTTCATACATCGGAAAAAATCGCCGTCCAATTGCAATTGTCCAAGACCTCTTCCCGAATTCCCGCATTCCGTTGTTTTATAACTTTTAGAGGTCAAAGTATTGAACTCCGACGCCTTTTTGAAAGATTTCCGACGACCATTCCCATCGCTCCACATCCTTCTTTAATCACAGCACGGTATAGAGATTACTTAGACTAGTAGTTACTTGCTGGCAATGTGTGGAATTTGACAGATAAAACTTTTCAGTCTAACAATTTATGTCCAAACTTAATTAAATCAAATGCATGTTGGCTTACATAGTGACAGTTGTTGTACCACCAAGCTCCTTTAAACATCTTAGCGCAATTTTCATCCTTCATTCTATCATTGTCGCGGTCAAACGTGGTGAAGTTCATGTTGTTCTGGAATGTAAATGAATCTCCAGCGTCGCCTTTAAAAATATAGTAAAACATTAATTTACTTGAATCCGATCTTCGAAGAGAATGCAGCAGGTATTTTGCATTAAAGAGAATGTAGAAATCGGTCATGGAACGAATGGTACTATGGGTATTTTGCATTTAAGAGAATGGGGAAATCGGTCATGGACCGAATGGTAGTATGGGTATTTTGCTTTTTAAGAGAATGGGGAAATCGGTCATGGACCGAATGGTAGTATGGGTATTTTGCATGAAAGGGAACGAATCGGAAAACCAGCCACTCACAGCGAGAACTAACCTTTCTCGTATCCACCTAGCAATAGCCTATAATGCTCCGACTCTTCGGTAATCTGGAAAGAGCTATACTGCGCATGAGCAGTGGTCATATTACAGTCTTTGAGATCTATTCGTATTTTATTTCTATTCCTTGTTGTCAAAGCATGAATTGCATCAAGACCAAGCCAAAACTCTTTCTCTTGGTCTCCGAATCCCTCCTTGTATTCGCTCCAATCACGAAAGAAGTTCACACTACCRTTTATACGTCTCTGTATAACTGTCCAGCCCCCGCCATCTGTTGATTGATCGCAGTACACTTGAACMGTGTAGCCTGGGGCTGGTGATATAATGTAAAGGCCACTTGCGTTGCTCAACTCACGTATTTCTGCGCATGAAGCTGGCACTAAATGAAGTACAACGAATAGAAGTTATTCAATGTTAAAAGAGCGCTAAGTAAATGCAGCTATGAATAATAGAATCATTCGCTGCTTCAAAGCTGCTTTTCAGAGTTGAACTATCCTCATAKCCGCTTCACTCAAGTTGCTTCTAGTGTAAGGTAGGACTGTTACATCGTTTATGTTCTTGAATGGCCTCCATTTATCGACAACAGAATTGCGTAGCTTAAATATCCGTTGTAGACTCATGATGTAGTTACGACTACTTCTTAGTGGTGGTCCCGAGTGAATCGCAGGAGAATAGGCGTTTTTAAACGCAAACAAAATTGCTTACAAACGGAACATTAATGTTTTTGTACGTTACACGGCCCAAATACGTAAAACAGTACTTTGAAATGGTGAAAGACCGGTTATTCCCTACCTGAACCGCTTGCGTAAAACTTGCAATGCATTAAATATAGGCTTTYTGGATCCCGCTCCTAAATCAAACCCTCGCCGCGTGCATAACGTGCCCTTAAAAGAACTGAGCCAGGAGCCCATAACTAGGAGCTTGCATGTCCTTATACAGGAGTGTCACGGCGTTTTCATTTAGATTACTCTTGAGTTTTCTCTTCAGTAGCAGACTCTTCACAGCGCTTACTTTAGGAACTTAAGCAGAACACAACTGGCTTTCACTATCGAATACTGGAAGTGGCTGCTCATTGGCTGAAATAATGTAAAAATAGAAACGTCTATGAAAACGCTGTGACCAAACCCAATACATAATATGGGACACTCTTAGTAATGGACTCCTGAAAAAAATATATACATACCAGTTTCCAATGTCTCATTGCAGTCTTTCTGTATTGAAAGAAAACAAAATAACTATAGTTACGAATAAGAAGGCTTTTTGATAGTTAATAAAGTGGAGACGGAAAATGGATGGAGAGATAATTKAGATACGTCAAATACGAAAATCAACGACAAACACAGATTTTTCAGACTTGTTATAGAGGGAAGTAAGAAACAGAAGTAGACATGAGGAATTAAATCGGGCGTTAGAGGAAGAAAATTAAAYTAAGAAAGTGAAAACCTTYATTAYCACTACTTTCGTCTCGTTCTCCCATCCCTTCGCTGCTGTCACCTTCTACTCCATGTCTCATGTTTATTTCACAAACGAAAATCGGCCCTTAAAAGACCCGTTTACACTTGAGATTTTTTGAAGCGCAATTGTCGCGCGACCATTGACAATCGCAGGGATGCATGTTTACACGTACGATTTTAGGTGCGCGATTATAGCAAAGTGGCGATTATCGCGCTGCAAAAAA